ATTTATGGGGGGCATCTTCCGCTTGAGTTTGCCCCGGGCATCTACATAGGTCTGCACGCCACTGTTTGCACCCCCTCTACATTTAAATTTATTTTTCAGCCCATTTTGGCGCCCCCTGAGGTCGGCGCCCGGAGACATATGTCCCCCCCCCCGCCCCCCCCCCCCCTCGCTACGCTATTGCCCCAACCCTCTACCCCCTCCCCTCCTCCCGTTCCTAAGTTTAAAATCTCCCTCCAGATTTTCCCATCTCATAGGAGGGACCCGGGTCTACGCAGCAGTGGATGAGCATTCAAGCATGAATTCACCTTTACCCAGGCGTCACGTATTCAGGACAGGGATATACTTGTTACAAATCCCAGACGTCATTCCGAGACATTAAGTTTGTAACGCGGTGTGCTGGATTTTGTATTGTACCTGGCCTGATATACAATATTACAGGTGGCGGTTACAGGTGACTGAGATTTAAAAGGAGATTCTAGCATGTGGAAGGACACAAGTCACATAGCGGAGATACTGTCTTAGAGTCTTAGAGGTATGTTCCTACAAGTAGGCCACCCCTTGAACGTGTGTAGTACACCCCGCAGATTAGTGAGCGTCACACGTGACCTAGTTAAAAACTTGAACACAGCCTACTCACGCGATATTGGACTCCCAATAGGGACATTAACTGTGTACTGCTCACACATTTGTCAGGTATGTTTACTGTATTTTAAATGTTTACATAACATACACACTGAGTATTCAGTAGGTACTAAATAGTATTAAGTATTTTACATTGAGGTCTTTACCGTATAGGCCCTCTCAGTGTTCCTTCAAATATTTTCTCCGGGGTAGGGGGGGGGGGTGGGGGTCGCACTTAAAATTTCCGCGGGGACACTGGTTCTATATAAATTATATAAAGTTTGAACCAGTTTAGATTAATTATATCGATCAATACCAATACCATTCGTAGTTGTTGTTTGATTTTTTTTTTTTATTTTTTTTTTCTGCGTAGATTCTCAATTAGAACATAATTAATATATATAACTAAGCCTATAGCTCTATATGTTTAAAGTTAGGTTAGAACTAGATTTGATTTAAAGATATGATTAGTTTTGAATAAAGCGAGTAATGTTTTGTTAGTTTGCTACTAGTACCACTACATCATGTTTTTGTAATACATTCGATACATACGCTGCATCAAAATTTTAACCTCTCTCCTCTACTCCGAGTGACAAATTGTCACAGAAGTCAAAATTCCCTCCCTCCTTGGTACGTGACTTCATATATTGTCGACTCCCTCCTCACCCCCCCCCTCTCATATTTGTACAAAAAGTGAGATAAAAATTTAAAAAAAATAAGTTTATATTTTATACACTGTTTAGATCAGTATGTTTTGATACGGGTTCTACGATAGACGAAATGCTTCAAACAGGACCGTCTGACGTCATCCACCCACCTCTCTCCTGACCATGACCCCAACACTTGTGAGTACGTGACGTCACAGCGGGGTAAAAACTAGGACGTGAAGTCAGGTCAGACAAGTATTAACCCCCCCCCCCCCCCCCCACACTCCCTAACACCCCTACCCGTTGGCCCCTCCATTAAATAGAGCAGTAAGGGGAACCCTCTATTCAACTGGCTGAACATTTTCTTTAGAGCTGCCCAAGTCACATTGGAAATACGTGCGGCGATGCATTTTTATTTATAAACCTGAATGTCAATAAAGGCCAAGTTCACATTTTTCGTTATATACTCGGGTTTGTCCCTTCTACTGTGTTGATGTGGTATTCAACGGGATTGAGCGAAACGCTTTGTAAGTAGTCTAGGCTATAATTAGTTGATATTATTGTTTTAATGTTCCTGTCATTATAAAAAAAAAGCATGACATAATTTAGATTTTATCAAGATCTAATATGTGGCTCTTTGTATCAGATACATGATTCTGATATATATATATATATATATATATATATATATATATATATATATATATATATATATATATATATGTATATATATATATATATATATATATATATATATATATGTGTATATATATATATATGTATATATATATATATATATATATATATGTATATATATATATATATATATATATATATATATATATATATATATATATATATATATATATATATGACAAAAAAACAACAACTAATATGTTAAAATCATATGCATGTGTTAGATACATATATCTGACTCATGTGCCCGGCCCATGAGCCCGGCCCATGAGCCCGACCCATGAGCCCGACCCATGAGCCCGACCCATGAGCCCGACCCATGAGCCCGACCCATGAGCCCGACCTATGAGCCCGACCCATCTGCCCGACCCATCTGCCCGACCCATCTGCCCGACCCATCTGCCCGACCCATCTGCTCGACCCATCTGCCCTACCCATCTGCCTGACCGATGTATCTGAAAACACACACTGCCTACACATTAGCATGTGTTCTGGTTCTACGACAACATTTCGTACTGGAAATATACCGTAACTTATTCGTTCAACAATTTCTAGTAGAATTTAATTTTTTTTTCAAATAAATAAAAGATAAATAATGTTACTACGTCAGTGTTACATCTTACTCCATATAAAATACAATTATAATAAACAGCCCCTACGACCTCTTTGAGTTATATAGGCGCGATCTATTTCAAGAAAAAAATAACACTTATTATTATTCAGTTATGTAGTTTTGCGCAGGAAACACATACAATACGTAAGGTTATGTGAAGGTGTGTACTTCACCAGCGGTCGTGGGGTTGAAGACAACAGCCGATAAAGTCAGACAACGAAGTCGTGACTGGATTCGCTTGAGTGCGGACATAACTGACAGTAAAATATTCATTGTTAGCTGGTGGGGTGAAGGGGGGGGGGGTTCACCCTTGATTATTCGTGTCATTAAGTCCCTACCTTGCACCGGTCTAAGCCCGTTGCTTAGCTCGTAGATTTTAAAAGTTAATTGTATTTTAGTGGTTTCACTTTTGTTCAGTAGCGGTGAATGTTATGTTAGTAACAATAGAGGTTAGTATTTTGTGGGTGAAAAAGCCAAAAAAATTTAATATGACAAGCTGGTTTTTGGTAAACGAAACAAACAGACGCCCAATATATGTTGTCAGAATATAAATTAAAACTGGAAAGAAAAAAAACAAGAAAAGTGCCAGAGTGTTTGGCGGATTTGAAGGAAGGAGGTGCTTCTGACATGGGGGGGGGGTGTCATAAACATGTGATACAATGTTGCTAGGGTTTGGGGTAGGTCAGGCAAAGGTTACAATCGTGACGAGTCGATCTTCAAGTGATCAATAAATAAAGAAAATCAATGGCCTGCGTATCGGTTTTAATTGATTATTGGTTTAGGAATGCAGGTAAACCTTCGACTTCGAGTGTAAGATTCCAGTTCTTATTGACAAAATGCATAGCCATAACCCTCTTGTCCTAGACAGTTTCGCTACTCAATTTTATCACATTCTTTTCCCCCCTACCCAACCCTCGCTTACCCCATGACCTCATATCCCCCCCCCCCCTTTCTTACCACAAGCCGTCATCCAGGTTAGCCTCCGAATCTAAATATAAATCTGAATGTCAATCTTCATTTCTGTACCCAATGATTTCTGCTCCCTTTTTTATATCCGGCCATAAATTGCTTTATTATACAAAAGTCATTTCTCTCGTCGGTTTAAACGTGTTACGTTTCTTTAAAGTTGTTATGTCTACGTGTTTCTGTTTGCTTGTGAAGGGTCTATCGTTTAATGTTCTTAACAGAAATAAAAAATATAAACATTATAGATTTAACTCTATGTCTGCTAGCTATTTTTTTAAAAGCTTTCAAACATCGATCTAAAGTCGTAAAACATTCCTGCGTGTTTAACAACGTAAAGATCTATTCATGTTTTTAACACTCCCTCACGGCTCGTGTTTCCTGGGTACGACATGGGGTTGGTTTAGTAAAGAGACATTTTATAATTATTTTTTTTAAAAGCATTAGAAAGCCACACATCTAATTCTATTTTATTAGCGGCAAAGCCTGTCAGATGACAGATATAAAACAATACAGCGTTTGTTCTGTTAGATTTTCAGTTGTCTAGTTCAGTTTCCAAGCATAAAATTTCATGCTAAGAACATGCAGTGACTAATTGAACTTATATTTAGTTGAATTTCAATATAACCAATTTGATCTGTTTTAGTAGCTAAAATATCGACATCGAATTATATTTATTAATTATTTTACCACAGTACCCTCCTCTTTAAATTGACCAGTCACCCTCTTTACCTTGATATCTCAACCTTCTTTTTACCTTGCCCCACCCTGTCCTTAAATTAACTGACTCATCATTGCTGGACCACTCGATACCCGGACCCATCACCATCTTATTTACCTTGACCCATCACCTTTTACCTTGGCCTTTACATTGCTCGACAACTCCATACCTAGATCCATTACCTTTTGCTTTGGATTTATGTACACAATACCGCCTATTATAAATACTGTAACAACGCGTATTTGTAGATGAGGCAATACGGTGCTATTGTGAGTTCTTCAATGCACACGAATAACAGTTCTTTCAACTTTCAACTTTAATAAAAATCGATCCACAAGATGGTAACTCCATAGTAGAATAACGACAATCCAAGTACAATCCAGAACAACAGATTAACGTGGTGACGGCTTACCGTGTTTCTTCCAGACTTTTTTCTCCGGGGGGCACTTGACATTCTTCGAGGGGGGGGGGGGGGAGAACTACAATGCTAAAAGTATTAAAAGTATATATTTTCTATATAAATGTTATTTCGTTCGGGGGAGCGGGACGGTAGACTTTCTTCGGGGGGGGGGGGGGGGGGGGCGGAGAAGAGATGCCTGGAAGAAACTCTGACGGCTTACATACAGGCACACTTAGTCCACCTTACACTCCCCTTTTATACACTTCATTCTCTCCCCTAACGTCAGTTAGCGATCTAACAAAAAGCATGGAAAAACATGATAAGTCACTCACAGTCCTTCTGTTGGCCAGGTACTCTACTTTCATACAAGTTCATTCTAAATAAACAATACAAGAAGTACAGTCTGTTACAAATACATTCGGTTATTTCTAAGTCATTATTTTTGTAGAAAACGCCCCTCGCTCAAATACAAAACAACTAGTATAAAATCGCTATGGGATGGCGTGGTGGTAGAGCGCTAGGCTGCTAACCCGAGAGTCTCGGTTCAAAGTCAGTAGAACCCAGTTCTGATGGGTACCTAACTTATGTTAAAGAAAGTAAAGGCGGTTTGACAAAGTGCTGATCACACCTTCCCTTCGCATTACGAGATCAAGAAACATATGAACTCTACTTCATCTGCCCGATGGATCGCTAGGTTTAAAGAGGATTCATTACTTTACTTTTATAGCATCACTAATTTTATTTCACAGCCAAGTATCACATGATGTCGGTTTTGGAGAAGACACTGTTGTTTATCGTTGCTCTCTGCTTCAAGACCGGCAACTGCTTCCCTAACGGCGCGAATGTTGATTCGTCCTGTTCAAATCTTGTACCTCAGCATGGGGCATCATCACAAACCTCGACACCGCCATACAAGATCACCTTCACACCTACGTCATATACAGCTGGTCAGACGGTGTCGGGTGAGTTTTTTTCACTGATTTATTTCTTCCTCTATAACTACTATAGATATGTACCCCAACTTTTCCCGTACACGTGTCCGAGTGATAGAATCAACCCGTGAAGGAAGACGATGGCCTCACGTCAGAGCTTGCAATGAGCAGCCATTTTGGTCAAACTTCAAGCAGAAAAGTGGCTGACAACTAGACTAAATCCGACCAAAAATTTCTTGAATACGGCTGCCGACTTCTGCTTTTGATACTGAACAGTCCTAGTTGCTATGCCTAGGTAATGGGATAAAGAGCAGTGACAAAGACGCGTTGTTATGTTACAAAAGCAAAAAAATAATAATAATAATAATATAAAGTCTTGAACTGGTATGCAAAATATGTTCGTTGAAGAAAACAATTCGTTTCGTCTCCCTTGCATCTCTCATCAAACAAATACATTCTTACCCAAATGTGTCTAGGATAATCATAACCCATATTGGTCTACACTTCATATTTGAGAATCGACCTTGTCAAACAATTTTAAAACTAATAAAGGAAATAAGTTTTATCGATTAGTTAGCGATACATTGCAAAGGTGACTTTGAAACGTGTTAGCGGAAACCCAATGTTTATAAAATAAAGTTTTATTTATTGATACAAATTTATAACTATATGCTTTAATTTTGAAGACCGTAGATCATTGCGAAAGTTTTCGTACATCCCCTATCACTAGCTAGCGCCTCCCCCAGGAAATCGAGATTCCCCCCCCCCCCCCAGAAACAACGGGGCTAGTTCCTGCCAGGATTGAATATTTTAGTACTGTGGCGCCATGGTGTGTAGCCATTAGATTTGAAACACATGAAAGAAGTGAAAATGTGATGTTTAAAAAAAATAAACAAACACATTCATTCATCTATGCATATATTATGTCAAAGCAAAAATGTGTATACGTGTAATTTTGTATTTCAGTAACAATTAGTGCAAACCCCAGTTCGTTCAAAGGTTTCATGATACAAGCCAGACGGGCAGACGGCTCGTCCAGTGAACGTTTGGGCTCTTTCACACCTGTAGCTAATACTCAACAAGCCTGCAGTGGGGTCAGTATATGAGAGCTGTAACTGTTGTCGAATGTGTTTATTTTTTAAAATTATCTTGCTGTCTAACTTTTTATTAGTTGTGATGTAAAATATGAACAATAGTTCCATAATATTTTCGATAATTAAAGATCACCATTGTGGTATTAAGTATGATGCCAGTTGTTGTTTTTTTTTTAATAAAATTTGTGTTGCAAATGTTTAAAATGCAGTTGCGATTTGACCCTCATTGTTGTTTTTTTTTTTTTAATCCTAGCAAGCTCTGGTACATACAAATAGTGATTCCAAGTCTCTTTTAACCTTCAATTGGACGCCTGCATCGACATATCTCGGTAATGTTGTCTTTAGGTAAGTAAAAACTATTTTTTTCATCATGATGTAGTATGACCACATAAGACCTAAAAAAAAAAACTGCTCAAAATGTAATATGTGACTTCTGTTGAAAACAGTTTTTAAACACATCATCTAGATATCTAGCACGTGTTAAACATTGGTTCAGTTTGAATGTGATTGTTGCGTTATTTGTTAGGCCTAGTTATTGTTACGTCCCCTGTATTACACCTACAGTGAGTGTGTAGTCGATGTGTAGACTTGCGGCAGTGACTGTACAAGGCATAGTGCTATGACGTGTGGTCAGAGACTGTTATCTGCACGCTAAATAAGGTGTTGAAGTGAACTTGATGGTGTGGTAACCAAAGGCGTAGCGACGGGGAAGGGGGTGGTACATATGGCCCCGGGCGCCGATCCTAGGGGCGCCAAAATAAGCTAATTTTAGCTGCTATTTTGAATTATAAATATAAAAAAAATATATGGGGGGGGGGGGAGGGGCAAATTGAAAGGGGTCACTACGCCTCTGGTGGTAACTACATTCTGTTGCATCATTTTTACTTCATTTCCACAGGGTTACCTATGTGCAGGCTGAGAGAACCTTCTGGGCGAATATCGCATCCAGTACATTAACTTTTGTTGGAAGTACTAGCGGCCCGGCCACACAAGCGCCCACATCTAGTAAGTTAACACTGGGTGACACGGGGCAAAACTAACATCCTAATTTTAAAACATGCATGATTATATATATATATATATATATATATATATATATATATATATATATATATATATATATATATATATATATATATATATATATATATATATATATATATATATATATATATATATATATATATATATATATATATATATATTTTAATATTAAATAGCATGTAAATGTATTTCTGACAAGGTATCAGGCAAAGAGAAACTTGTGGGCAAATATTGCATCAAATACGTTAACTTTTGTTAATGTACATCAAATCAATCCCCCCCCCCCCCCCCCCTCCCCATCAACCGAGCGAAAAAGACATTTTTAACAATTCAAATAGAAAATATATACTTCAATGCAAAATGTCAACATAAAAAGGTTGAAAGGTCCATCTAAAAGGGTTAGGAAATCGCTAAGTAAAAAGACCTCTTAGATTATGTTTACTCGACACTGTAAATGTCATTACATTTTGCTAAAACACAAATCGGGAGACATTGTAAGTCCCTCTTGTGCCCAGTTTTTTTCAGCTAGAGCTTGTAATCGAGTTTTTTCCCCTAGATTTTTTTATCGAGACACTTTTGTCTGCAGAACTATTCCCCCCCCCCTCCCTTGCTTTTTTTTTCTTTACAAAATGCAATGCTTTAATTTATATTTCTTTTAAATTAATTTTTAATCCACGTTTTCTTAAAACGTGAATCGTGCCGTTATGGTACACGGTTTTCATGCCATTTTTTTCCTCTTTGTACTGACATGGGGGTTTACAATTCAACTCTAGGAAAAGTGATACCTTTCATTCCCCTCACAGTAATGGTGGGAAGACGTATGCACGATAGCTTGTCAAGTTTCCGATGGCTTGTCAAGTTTTCTGATAGCTTGTCCAGTTTTCCGATAGCTTGTCCAGTTTTCCGATAGCTTGTCCAGTTTTCCGATAGCTTGTCCAGTTTTCCGATAGCTTGTCCAGTTTTCCGATAGCTTGTCCAGTTTTCCGATAGCTTGTCCAGTTTTCCGATAGCTTGTCCAGTTCTCCGATAGTTTGTCCAGTTCTCCGATAGCTTGTCCAGTTCTCAACACACGCAGGGTATACTTATACGTATAATTTAGAAATTGTCATTCTGGTAATAAAAAAAAATGTAAAAAATAAAAACCCTTATCAATATTGACAGTTTTGCGTGCGACGTCTATGCTTACTCGAAGCGCTAAAGAAATGGTCATTGAATAAAAGAAACAATTCTGTTGTATCGACTTAGGTTTTAAATTTTTTTTTTTTTTTGTTGGCGTCTACCCCAGATAGTCAGTTTAAATTTCTTTGTCTCCCCTTTTTGTTTATTCCCCTTTTTTTGTTAATCTCCATTTTTTTTTTGCTAGTCTCCCCTTTTTGTAAGTGTCTCGTTTTTTGTGACCTATTCATTTGATGCATCTTACAATATTGATTTAAAAAAAAAAATTCTTCCTTTGGTGCCCAAATCAAAGAACTAACCAACTACGACAAATATTTCAGAGCTTGTGGAAGAAAATGTAATGTTTTCATCAATTCTTTTGTTATTAATACAATCTTAAAGGTGGTTTATTTTTTCTATAAGTAGTAAGTAGGCTACAAATATTATCATATCAACAAACTTTTCATTTTCAACATCACAGCTTCTACAGCTCCTGTATATCTAACATCTACAGCTCCATCAATACCAACAGCAGTAACATCTACAGCTTCAGCAGCTGTAACAAATACAGCTGCTCCAGTATCTGTAACATCTACGGCTCCTGTAATAACTACCAGTACAGCATTTCTAACTGTTGCTACTACAGGTCTGTTTTTGTGTAATTCAGTAGAATTTCTTTGATGGTAGAATTTCTTTGATGGTAGAATTTCTTTGATGGTAGAATTTCTTTGATGGTAGAATTTCTTTGCTGCTAGAATTTCTTTGATGGTAGAATTTCTTTGATGGTAGAATTTCTTTGCTGCTAGAATTTCTTTGATGGTAGAATTTCTTTGCTGGTAGAATTTCTTTGATGGTAGAATTTCTTTGCTGATAGAATTTCTTTGCTGGTAGAATTTCTTTGCTGGTAGAATTTCTTTGATGGTAGAATTTCTTTGCTGGTAGAATTTCTTTGATGGAAGAATTTCTTTGCAGAGAAAATTTTGTTGCTGTGGCTAAAAGGGCTCTTATTTCTATGGTTTACTAATATTCTGGGCTAAAGATTTCAATATTACAGTTTTCTTAAAGGCAAATAAAAAGAATACACATCAAAACTAACAATTGTGCTAACATTTGTGAACTGTGTGTTATACTATGTTGTAACAATAAAAAAGAAACCTGAAAAATATTTGAATCAACGTTATTCAAACACTCAGAAAATCTTGAAATATTTGTTGTATTCAACATTCAACAAGAAAAATTATTTGGGTGCTGCTTTTCACAAATAATTGAGATTGTATAGTTTGATTATTAGTCTCTTATTAATATCAAAACTTATCTGAATATATAGTTTTTTTAATAATACATTTCATAATAATGTAATTGAATTTTTTATAGTGTACACAGACACATGCACAAATACACATCATCTTAAAGCATTCCTTCATAAGCCTAATAGCCTATAATGCCTAATCATAAAGCAAGCTTATAAGTGCATTCCATTTATAACAGCTATCTTTATTGCTGCCTTAATAAACTTCACAAGAGCCAGCAGTAAACACAGCACCTGTTTCTCACTAAACAGTTTAATATGATAGGCGTACTATTAGCTAGAGAAAACACCCCATAGTCGATCCAACATTCTAAGAAATTAATTATTACTAACGCTTTAGCTATTCTTTAACATCTGCCTTAACTCCTGTACAGCTTTTAACTAAAAACAAAACTCAGTTATACCCTAACCTTTTCCAAAATGATTCACCCCATGACTCATAACCCATAACTCTTGTATATAATTATACTTTACAAAAACAGAAAAGAATATTAATAAATGGTGATAGATTAAGCTACACTCAAAATCACACATTTTTAAAAACGTTATAAAATTCATATATAAAAAAATATCAATATCAATAAAATTATAAAAAAATTATGTTCTAAAATTCACCTAAATCTAACACCTACATTAAACTCTATTAGCAATTTTTAAAAACAATTTAAAATAAATTAATTTGGCCTAGCCACATTTATAAAAATGAGGTGTATATCATTAAAATTTTACAACAGCGTATTGATAACAGTTATTCTTGTTAATAGTTTACATATATGGTCTAACAGCTTCAACCACAAAAGCTGGCATCACAAATCCTACAGCTGCAACAGGTGGGGCTACCTCACCTCCCATAACTTCTACAGCTGCAAACGTTGCATCTTCTACAGGTCGGTCTGTCCAATGATATATTCACTGATTTTTTTTTAGTCTACAAACTTCCCCTAATTTTCAACAAGCTTCTTAACTTTTTTTTTGTTTTAATTTTCAATGAAAATAAATTGTAGAATAATTTTTCTAGAATGGCAAACAATGGCATTGATGTTGATCCCCCCCCCTTTACCTTCAAAACACAGCAATCTAATAATAGACTACAGCTATATGTGATGGTGTGCTCGTATCACACTAAGTCTACAATTTTAAAAATTATGAATTTCAAAAAACCACTATTGGACATTCTTTAAAATTATTATACAAATAAATATATTTATAGACAATATACATATATCTAGGGTTTTGAACACCCCCCCCCCCCCTGGCCTGTTACCATATGACATCCACATTAACATTTTTTCCATATAATTGTCTCTTTCTGCCATCACATTAACATTTTTCAAAATAAATATATCTTTCTGCCATTACATTAACATTTTTCAAAATAAATATATCTTTCTGCCATTACATTAATATTTTTCTATATAAATATATATTTATGCTATGACATTAACATTCTTCTATATAAATATATATTACTGTCATCACATTAACATTTTTCTATCTAGTTATATCTTTTTGCCATCACATTAACATTGGTCCACATAATTATATTTTTCAGGAAGATACAACTAAATATATATATATATATATATATATATATATATATATATATATATATATATATATATATATATATATATATATATATATATATATATATATATATATATATTGTCCGCAACTTTAGTTGCTTTATATTTTAAGTTTACTTTTGAGGCATTTGTGATTGTATGCTGTTGTTGAATGGTGGAGCCATTAACCATTAACATAGCCTCCCCTTTTGATGGTTATTATGACTAATAAAAAGTTTGTTGTTATGTTTTTATCACATATGCCTACAGACAGGTGACTTGCCTAAAAAAGGTCACATAAGTCTTTAAGTTAGCACACACATGGGGTTACAGTATAAATCTTTAGATTTCCAATTAATTAAAATGTTCTTCTGTGCTGATCCAAAACAAGCTAATACCCTAATTAAACACCCATACAAAACATACAAAGTATCTTATAGCAAAATGTATACACACAAACAAATTTGATAGAAAAAAAAATGCAAGAAGAAAAACTTATATTTTTAGTAGTCTAAATTTGAAACTTAACTCTATGCCTCATAAAAACAAAGCATGTAGGCTACTAATACTATAATAAATAATTTACTTAATTAGAATTTTAACTGAAGGTATAGTGTAGGCCTATCTATTTTAAGAATCAATTGCCTCTGCCTATAGGACCATGATAAAGCCAAGCAGTTCACACATTTTGTATGGCTAGAACGAAAACTAATACAAGAGATTACCTAGGAAAATTACAAGGGAAATCACTCTCCATAATTCTGATTTACATTACAACAACATAATTTTGTATTGACACTCATATTTGTTTCAGTTCCCACTGCCCAGAGTTTGGGAACTGTTTCTGCTGATCCTACCTGTGAAGGTTCAACTAAAGGATGTTTCACATCTTGTACTGGCAACACCTGCAAGTTTATTGTGAGCTGGAAGGAGGATGGAACTGATGTTGTCTACAATTTTACAGCTGCTGTTGAGTTTTCTGACGGCTCATATGTAGCTCTTGGACTTTCTAGTGACTCCAGCATGGCAAGTATTTTACCTGATTTTTTAAGCATCAATGATTATTTTCAGTGAAGTTAGTTCGTGATAACTTTTATTTTATTTAAATTGAATATAAGTATTGTTGATAAAACAATTTTTTTTTAAAGTTTAAAATAAACAATTTTTTTTAATAGTTTATTTTTTCAAACTTAGATCATTTATTTTGGAATCATTTGTAATAAAATTTTGTATCAAACAAAGCAAATTTTCTAATTATTTTATTTGCTGAAAACTTCTGAATAAAACTATCTGTAAGGGTTTTGTATAATATTGTGTTTGAGGATTTAATTGGTATAATTTTGGTAAAATTCATATCTCAGATTTATTAAAAACCAATTTTCTTTTATTTCTTTAGGGTAATGATAGTGTGATTGGTTGTGCCTTTGGTACAGATGGTCTTGTTGTGTCCTTCACTGCTGCAAATGTTGGTAAAAGTTCAGCTTCCTTCCCAGACAGTGTAAGTAATAAAAAAAATCTCAATTTTAAAACCAAATTGTCTGGTAGAAAATGTTGACATTGATTATAGTTTAAATAAATTTGATGACACTGTTATAATTTATTTTTAAATAATGAAAGTTATAGTAAATGGTCTTAGCTGAGATTGATTATTTTTTTAACAATCAGAAAATTGTATTTTTGAAGAATATTTTTCTAGCTTTATTTTAATCAGACCTACTGGTTTAAAATATTCTAGAGTGTGAGGCTATTATCTGGCAGTTATAAAAATGGTATCCTGACATGCTCAGTTCATCGACCTATTGCAGGACTAGGGAAGCGTTATGATGTCAGCAAACCATGGACACTGTTGTTTGCAAGCGGAGTAGCCTACGTAGGTAAGTAATCATTGTGTATTTTTTACTAGGATCCCCCTTGTTACTAAATATTACATCGAGATCAATCAAGTATAGAACTAAATATTATAGCTGTCATTAAAATATATGTCATTATAATGTAGTAAAATAAATCACTGTTGGGCCTGAAGTAGTTTCATTGTTTTCTTTATTGAATATTTTTTATGTAAACTTCTACTTTAAAAACTGATCCTAGCCAACATGCTAAATTTACATTATATAAAAAACACAATCCATAATTAATTAAAAATCAATTACTTTAGATTCTACTGCACAAGAAATTTAATTGTTGAGTGTTAAATTTTTCTTTTGAGTTAATTATCATAAAAAATAACTTTTTTCAAAGAGTATTCTTTAGCAGTACTAGAAATTCTAATTAAAATAAGAATGATTAAGATTTTATGTTGAAAAATAAAATAGATAGTTAAGTAGCCTATATATTTTTATTCATAATACATCTTAACTTAATAATTAAAAAAAATAATTCTACAGATTCGGTTGTTTCTTTAACAAACCATTACAGCAATAATTACATCTCGGCAATAGCTGTGACTTCTAAGTACGTAGGCAATGTTAATGTGCAGGAGCAGGATAACCCCATGTATAAAGCTCATGGTAAACAATTATTTTATACTTTGCAGTCATGTTAAGACTCATTTTTGAAGGGCTGCCATTAAGATAGAATAAATTATTTTTAACTAGGTAATGCAATATTTTTAAATAACTACACAGCTAGATCATTTCTGCATTGGTGATTTCAGATATAGTATGGAAATCAAGTTCATAATTTTTTTTTAAATTACTCAAAAATATTTTTTTTACATTTTAAATATTGTTTATTTATCAATAAAATCAATGTCTATATTTTTTAACTAACAGTACGAATCATTGTTGATTGTTTATTACAGGCTGTTTGATGGTAGCTGCATGGATGTTCTTTTCAAGTATTGGGATCATCACTGCCAGATTTTACAAGCCAGTGTGGAAAAACACAATTTTATCTCTCAAAGTTTGGTTCCAGGTTAGTAAATATCACTTAGACAATGACAACACAGCTACATATTTTCTTCTGTAAGTCATAAAAGAAAATATGGAACTACATTGTTTTTTTTTCAATATTTTGGAAATTTTCATCCATATTGCATGTTGTGATGAGTATATTTAATGTAAAATGTTACAATCTTGTATAGTTAAATGCTAAATAGAAGTTTTTATTATGTTCAGATTCACAGACTGTGTATGGTGCTTGTGTTCTGTTTAACTGCCATTGGATTCATCATTATCTTTGTTGAGGAGAAGGATTGGAGTAAAGTAAGTCGTTAACATAGAAATGTAAAAACATATTACTTGAATGTAAAGATTTTTATCAGGCAATTTATATCGTGTGACATACAGTCATCAGGTGCTAGAATGCTTGCTATATGTTTATTATTTTCTAAAAGCTAGCACAGCTTGTAAACATATGAGAGAGTTATGTTTGCCTACTTGTAAGTTTTGTGTAGTGTTTTTTTTCTTGTTGTCAATCCTAAATTAAATTAAAAGTCTTTTAATGTCAGATTTATGATAAAAACTCAAATGATTACTTTTATTTTTCAGGTAGAAAATGAGGCAGTGTATTTATCTGGTCACCCCATCATAGGTGTCATTGTCATGATCCTGACAGTCCTTAATGTGAGTCTTGTCATTTCTTTCACTTTCAAAATCAGTAGCAATAAGCTAATTATTTAAATGTAGTTTTTATTTTTTATATTTAATTATTTAAATATTCAAACGTAGCTTTTAAAATTTGGTGGCTCTTAAGATTAGTGTTTTATAAATAAAGTGATGTAACCAAATATGTAATATAAACATATTATAATATTTAAAAATTACTAATTTTTAAAACATATTCTAAAAATGATATTTTTTAAAGAAGATATTTCCTTCTGAATTTTATAATCAAACAAAAAGTGAGTACTTTTTCCTTTGTTTTCTTTAACACTTTAAACACCATTGTAAATAATCAACTGTTGAATGTGTTGACAGCCAGTCATGTCTTTGTTTCGTTGTGACCCTGGCACACCCAAGCGACCTCTCTTTAACTGGGCCCATTTCATTGTGGGAGTATCTGCTCATATTTTGGCTGGTAAGTTGACATTTAAAAAATTCACCTTTGTTTTATTGTGGCAGTATCTGCTCATATATTGGCTGGTAAGTTGATTCATCTAAGCTTCCCTGATGAGCTTAATAAAATATTCTAGCTAGTTCTTTAGAAAACTGTTAGTGTCTATTTTGTAGAGAAACAATAATAATAATAAAATAATGTCACCATCTTGATATCTGTTTATTTTAATTGAAATGTTAAATGTGTTTTCTTCGATGAGCTTAATAAAAAATTCTAGCTGATTGTTTAGAAATAAATATTAGTTTCTATTTAGTTGATAAGCTTACAAATGATAAAATATTGACCCACTATATTAATTGAAATGATAAATATATTTTGTCTATTTCAGTGATCGCCATTTTCTTTGGTGTGCGCCTCAAAGGTGCTGCCACACCTTACTACACTGTCTATATCTTAGGGGCATATGTGGCCTGGATCCTGTTTGTGGAGATTTTACTGGAGCTGATCAACTGCTGTGACAAAAGAATAGGTGAGAAAAACTTGACAATTTAGGTGTTAAAGGGATAGGTAGGAAAAATGTGACATTATACAAGAGAATAAAAAGGTAACAAAATATTTAACTGGCAAGTTATTGAATAAGCACAGATCTAACAGCTTTAAATTTCATGTTAAAATAAATAACATTGGCTGGTTGGCTTTAATTTTTTTTTTTGTTGCTTGACGCAGTTAAACAAGAAGTCTATGAAATGGGGAGCTCAGATAACCCTAAATTCAAACCACCAGGTACACAAAGTAAAAAGGTTGGTTCCATTTTTTTAAAAACTTTGATTGCGATCAAATGTTTTTGAATGTATAAATTATTTTATTATAATTAATATAATAATGTATATTTATATTAATATATGGGCACAGATTAAGGGAGCAGTCTAAAACTGAGTCTGCTGGAAATGTGTAGTTGTAGCCCTTTGCTCCCCAGGGGCCACAAAGGAATGATGATGATGATGATATTAATATAAATTAATTATTTCAAAATGTAAACAAATTCAACTTTTTCCAGACAATCTTGATCAAGCGCGTCATTCTTGTAGTCCACTGTGTTGTGGTGGCGTCTTTGGCTGCTGCTGTCATGGCCATCATTGGTGTTGGAGAGGGATCTGATTCATAAGGGGCCATCTATTCATGACACAGGAGAATCTAGACCACACAGTTAAAGACATTTGTTGTAATTCATCTATGTTAATGAGTTTTGGACCAGAATGAAATTTTTAAATTGTATGTTGTACGTTTGAATGAAAACTATTTGTTAGATTTGATATAAATTACATGTAAGTAAAATAGAGGTGTAACTATGTAATTGTACAAATTGTTTTACCAGTTATTGATGCTTTTCCTAATTGTTCTTGTAATTCATTTGAATAATTTTATGTATTTTTTCTTATAATTTATGTAAATATTTTTATGCTATTACTTTAAAATTTATTGTAATCAAATCTAGTTTTCTTGGCAACAGATAATTTCATACATTTTTTTCCTATTTAGATAAGTGTTTTATTCCTGGCACTTTCAATCCTGTTTATTATAAATCTGCACTATGTTCATTCCTATTTTTATATCACTCACACCTATAGTAACTTTTTAACTTCTCTAAATAATGCTGTGATTAAATTTGATTTTTTACAAATATTTATGTTGTATGTACTAAGCCTACAAAATATTTAATGATCATTGTAAATTTTTTCTTTCCTTTTTTAAAAAAAAATAAATGTAAAAGTTCATCTTGGCTGGCTGAAGATGTTCTTGCAAGAAGAGTTCTGTTTTAAGATCTCGAAAATTAGTTGTCCATCGTATTTGTTACAATCCCACACAGTAAATTTCTTGTCCATCATATTGTTATAAGCCTATACTACAGATTTCTTGTTCGTCATATTTGTTATAATTCCCCACACTACACATCTCTTGTCCATCATATTTGTTATAATCCCACATTACACATTTCTTTTCCAAGGTAATTGTTATAATCAAACACTACAGTTTTCTCAGTTCAACATTATAATAATAAAATATTGTTTTTATTTCACATCCTTTAATTAAGCTTTTCAAACTTACACCTAGATACCATTTATTGTAAAAGTGAATTGCTTTTTTGTTATGTTTTTAATGAATAAATCTAATATTCTATTTGACGCATTTAATTTATTTATAAGTCAATAAAATGGTAACAAGTCCAATGGAAAGTAATAGGAGATTAAATTTAATTAACTTAACGCTCTTCTTTAAATTTAAAGCGAAATTAAACGTGAATGTAGGCTACCTGTGCTTTAAATTTGTGGCAGTATTGTTTTAAAATAATATCACACAATTTTTTTAAAATTACCGAAGAAAAGTGCAAAACGGAAATTTCTGTCTGGGGTTGGGGGTCCCCGTGTTATGGCCCATATTGACAGTTGACTCTAATATCAGCCCTTTTTTCTGAGTTGTCTCTCTTAGATCTGACCGGGTTGCTGCCCCAAGCTAACGAGTCTTATGTCCCCTGATGTTGTGCTGTGTATGGAAGTATTGCTATCATAATCATTGATACTACATTTAAATAAATGCCACAAGAACAATGTACCTAAATAACCTTGCTATTTTTTGTCAAGTGAGGGGGGGGGAGCACCTTAGAATTTTACTTCCGGGTTGTCATTTACCGACTTATTTTTTCCCAATAAATGAAATAAAAGTTTCCAGCTACTTACTCAATGTTATCAAGCATCTGATGATCTAGGAAGCTACTTCGTTTCAATGTGATGGTGTGGTTGACAGTTTGAACACACGATTACTTGCCCGAGGGTTTCCATATCGGTTCACTCGCTCGAGTTTGTGGGACTAGAGTTGTCAGGCATCTCTTTGGGAAGGGGGAGGGGGGCAGTGTCACCCCGTAGCACGTCTACTCCCCCACCTCCGTTATTATTTTATAGAAAATATATAACCAGCGTCCGTAACCACCCCCCTTCCATCAAAAGTTTAAAGCCCCCCACCCCACCCCGGGATAAAACTGTCTGAAAGAAACCCTTTGTGTGACGTCTCTGAATACACAGCTCTGACGGGACCTGACCAGTGTTTCTATCAGTCCTCAGCCCCTCCCCACCCACCTGAAACACATCTAGTCAATACCAAGAACGACGAGTTTTCAAGTGTTAATTCACCACAGCGGATTATCCTATTTTACCGACTCGGATTTTTTAAATTTTTCCATTATAGTTCCAATGTCGCCTTTCCGGAATATATGTTTGAAAAACGACGATTCTTTCAACATTATTTCGCCACCGTGTGTAGATGGTGTTTTGGGTGACACAGATTTAAAATAAAAATAAAAACATCCGTAATAGGACACAGTTTCGAGCATTTACTCATCTAAAGAAAGTAGGATGTGTCTTGAGTGTGTGTTTTCCTGTGAGCGTCACAAGTGGTCTAACTCGGACAAGTCACTCAGTATCGTATTGACATTTGTTATTTTATCTGCTCACAGCTCGTACACTGGTGAGGTAAACATTTTAATTAATCTAAACTTTCCTCATTAATTTATCTTTATACAGCTCGTAAGCTGGTGAGGTAAACATACTAATTAATATAAACTTTCCTCATTAATTTATCTGGATACAGCTCGTAAGCTGGTGAGGTAAACATATTAATTAATCTAAACTTTCCTCATTAGTTTAATCTGCATAAAGATCGTACACCGGTGAGGTAGACATTTTAATTAACTTAATTAAACCTTACGCGTAATTTTATCTCGTGTTACACTAGCCTACATCATTTTGATCTAAGGACAGCCGTGTCTACTTTTCTTCCCCAGAATACTTTCCTAGTGTGTCACACTCGCTCCACACTCGACCAAGTAAGTTTTTTTAAGTAAGGTGGGTCAGTAGTTACTTCAACTACTGACAGTTTCTTCTAATTTACATAGCAGTAGCTAAGGTCACGGTTTTCAAATATTTTTATACATTTGTTTTATTTATGACATAATGGTTATTATATTCGTTTGTTAGAAGTGGCTTATTATTTAAATTACACAATCATTTGAGTCGTTTTTGGTCAAATCTTGTAACTATTCTAAAAAATAAAAGAAAAATGACGAAAACCAAAACAATTATTAATCAAGGTTCAATTGAATTAATTAGGCCTATAAGAATAATATATTTATGCTGTAATGTGTGCAAGTTACCACTGTGTTGTATAGTGACTTTGTTGGTATGTTCTACACATACATGACGCTCATGACACAAAGTTGTATACTGACTTTGTTGGTGTGTTCTACACATAGATGACGCATGTAACACAAGTGTGCTGTAATGTGTGCACGTGACCAGTAAGTTGCATAATGACTATACAAACTAGGCCGCCGTATGAATATGACGAGGAGCTCGTGGATACTATATTATATTCATGGTTTCTTTCAGACATTTGTATCGCGAGGGTGACACTTCGTTAAACAATGGTTAAAGTATATATTTTATTTATATTTTTTTCTATTTCTTACAGAGAGGGGTGGGGTTGATATGGTCCGCGAGGAGGAGGGGGGGATGACTGAAATAAACACTGGGAGTATAGTTTGCACATCCTGTAGAACGGCACACATGTTAGCTAACATAAATTTATTATATTGTATCCAGCATTGTTTTATTATGGTTTGTATGTTGCCCTTCTAAGCGTAGACCAAAGAATGTGTCACACAATTCATTTCGCAGCTGAGAATCGGACGATGGCCGTGATGTTGCAGACGCTTGGTTTGGTGCTGGTCCTCTGGGTGGGGACTGTGGTCTGTTTTCCCGACGGTACAAATGTCGACAACTCCTGCTCGGATATGGTACCACAGCACGGTGCTCCCGCCAAAACCTCGACACCTCCCTACACGATATCGTTAACACCTGCGTCATACACACCTGGCCAACAGGTGACTGGTGAGTTTTTGTTTTTGTTTTTTTGCTAGCGAAAAAAAAATGTAATAAAGAAAAAAAACCACTTGTTGGGTCTGAAAAAGTATCTTTACATGTTAAATTAACCCCAACCAACGTTCCCTCTTATGTGAAAAAATATGTGTAGCGTGTATTTTGTGTGCGTGTTGTTCTTAACATATGGATATATGTATTTTACAAAATAAATGCGCGGCAGTTGAAATCTACTGCCATTCCACCATAAACACAAACCGAAGACTAGAACTGCGAATGGGTAACTAGTAACGTATCTGCGAATTTTAGTTACGCTTTCTGACCTGACGATCTATTAGGCAGATGAATTAGAGATCAGTAGTTTGTGACCTCTACATATGACTAAGGAATAGTTACGTCAGCCTAGACGTCTTTACTTTCTTTAACAATAGTCAGGTACCCATTTAGGCTGGGTGGACTCAGGGACGTTCCACGGACTCAGGCCAGGGATACGAACTCAAAACTTTCGGCTTAGCACGCTCATCGTGCGACAATGCTAACCTGCGTGCTATGATGCATGTTCTACCCTAACAATCTGCATGGTTGAGGTTTAGCGGCAAAAAGTAGGAATCGTGTCAAGATTATAGTTGGAAGGTCTACTGTATAATCTACAAATGCGACCAGGATTTCTTTCAGACTATTTTTCTTCGGGGTTAGGGGGGGGGGGGGGGGGGGCTAAATTTTACGAGGTGATGGGCGTTAGTTTTTTAAAAAGAGCATAATTAATAAAAGTTACTTGGGACCGTCATTCCACAGTACACCTGAGAGGAAAGGGTAACACGTTCAAAGGTTTCATGATCCAAGCTAAACGGGCAGACGGCTCATCTAATGAGCTCTTGGGGTCGTTCACAGCTATAGCCGGTACTAGACAGGCTTGTAATGGGGTAAGTGAGTGTGATGTAATGGGGTGAGTAAACGTGATGTAATGGGTGGGTAAGAGTGATGTAATGGGGGGTGTAAATGTGATGTAATGGGATGGGGGTGTAAATGTGATGTAATGGGGTGGGTAAATGTGATGTTATGGGGGGGGAGTATATGTGATGTAATGGCTGGGTAAATGTGATGTAATGGGGAGGTTAAATGTGATGTAATAGGGTGGATAAATGTGATGTAATGATGTAATGGGGTGAGTAAATGTGATGTAATTGGGTGGGTAAATGCGATGTAATTGATCTACGATTTTAAAAATATAGGTTTTTCTCTATGACAATTCTTTTTTTAAACATAGGCCCTAATTATAATATATTTCGTTTACTCTTTCTATACTTCCATACTTCTATACTTATTCTATTTTGATGTTCCAGCATATACAATTCGGAAAACCCAATTGATTTAATTATGTGTTTACTTAAACATTCTAATGCGTTATGCTATCCTTTTAAAGATTTCAGTTACAGCTGAATGTATTATAAATAATCAGATGCATTTTTACAATTGGATGATTAATGCAAAATAATAACAACCTTTTAGATTGCTAACTATTATAAATAATAGGTTCTTCTTGTACTCGTAGTACAGCTCTTACCACTCATGTCATGTATTCTTTTAAATTCACCTGTATTTTTAATTTATCGATAATCACTTATCAAAATTATTTCAATAACTACTTTTTTTTCTAAGTGGTGAAATTCCGGAAATATTCACTTGAATCTCTTATTGTTTCATTATTTATTTCTGAATGAAATAAGAAAAAAATCCGATGTAAAAAAAAAAACAACTTTTTTTTTGCCTGTTACAATGAGATTTTGTTGTTTCAACTTCCAGCAAGCTCTTATCCATACAGAGAGCAGAGACAAGTCCACTAAAACTTTTATCTGGACACCTCCAGCCGAAGATGTGGGATATGTTGTCTTCAGGTGATACACAGTTTGGATCATGTCCAAATAACTATAAGCTCGTCAAAAAGTTAACCCACCGCCCAAAAACAATTATAATAATAGGATATGAAACTTGCACTTATATTTTTTAACCAAAACCCAACCCTAACCAAACCTTAGCCTACCCCTAACCGTAGCACTAGCCCTAAACCTAACCCTACAGGTCGATCGGGTGAGTTGTTTTAATTTATGGAGTAGGGGTCGGCGTGGTCGAGTCGGCAAAGCTAGGGACAGCCACTCTTCTAAGAGAGACAACTCCAAAATCAAACAACTGCTGCCTTGTAGTTTGTTTTTGGTTAGACAAAGGCTATGGGAGCAAATCCAAAAAGAAA